ATTTCCTTGACTATAATAAATATTTGTATATACATATGTAAAAGGACATTTCTTACGATATATAAGTAAACAAATATAAGCTCTGATTCCGACACCCGGGAAGTGGGGTCAATAAAGTTTGAAGATGCTGAGTAAATACACTTTTAGTTTTCTTTTCATTTTTTCACTCAGATGCATGACAGACTCAATAAACTATTGCAGGTGGAACAACTGATACTGAAAGTTTAAAGTTACGAAACTTGCGCTCTCAAAACTTGCATCGATTCACTTAAAAGTCGGGCATGACCGACTAACTCAGACTTATTCTGAGATCAAATATTTATTTAAAATTGTATTTACTACTAGTAAATATTTCAGATATTTTCTTGACCAAAAACTCTAATTGCTGATAAGCCTTGGCTAGAGGCAGAGACTGCGTCAGCTAATCGTAAATTAAATGCTGGCCTGACTCCGACTGAATGCTGCGTGAGATCTCGGTTAGTAAATGTTGCTGCAATGCCTAATTAGAGCTGGGGCATAATTAACATGTGTGCCCCCAGCCTGGCTTGGAATATGATGCGCAAATGTCGCGGCGGCGCCACTAGCTATTTGAATGGTTGGCTAAAAATAGGAGGGGAGCGAATTAGCCATTTGCAGGTAGCTATAATTGGGTATCCGGCTAGAGTTTCGGTAAGCAGCAAAAGTCGTTGTTGGTGCTTCAGCCAGTTTTAGTTTGGTTCCAATTGTCAGAGCTGGCTGGGATTCTGGCCTTTAATTGGGCTCATTGCAGGCATCGAGCGTCAGCTGAAACTGCCATTTAATTGGCAGCAAAAAGTGCCGACTCAGCCCAGGTACAGCGTCGAAATTATTTGCTAATATTAGCTTCGTGGCACGCAAAAGGCCCTCAGGAGGGCTCCAGCCGATGGCCGAGGGTAAACAACTGTGCGAGGCTTTTCGGGGAATTTGTGGATGGCCGTGCAGCACGGCCCGGCTGCTTTTTGTCAACCAAACGCAAACTCTGCACGCAGATAACGTCCCAAGCAGCCAGCGAAGTCTCAAAGCAAGTCTCATGCCACAGCCCAGAGCACAGAGTACAGCATTGTTTGCCTTTGCGTCGTTCAATTTGAGCAATTTGTCTACGGCACATTCTTTGGCCGAGCTCGCATTTCTGGCCGCCTGCCTTTGACATGGGGCTAGTGCAAATATTTCCCGAATTTTCCCAACCCATTGCTAATGGGTACGAATTAAGTATGCGAGCGAAGCATTTGGCCGGACATATTTGTCTGCCCGGCTCCGAATATCTTAGTGCGGCAGTAGTGATTCTCAAATTCCTCTCATCAGCTTCCGGCAAATATTGCCTGGACCAACCCGAAAAAAAAAGATTGACTTAGCTCCAACATATTTCGGTTATGGACACGCAAATATAAATAGAAAAGTATTGCAAACAAAGCCCACGGCCCTAATC